GGGAAAAGCCTGAATCAACAGACTTAAATCAGTCACCAGATTTGTAAACACATCACAAAATAAACAATGAAATGGCAATGGCCCATTTATATTTTGAATTTCAAGGAAAGAAAAGGCATTACAGGTATCTAGGCAGGATAAAAAAATCAGTTTTAAAAGACTGCATGTGGGTCGGGAGTGGTGGCTCACACCTGTAATCCCAGCACTTTGGGAGGCCGAGGCAGGTGGATCACAAGGTCAGAAGTTCAAGACCAGTCTGGTCAATCTGGTGAGACCCCTGTCTCTGCTAAAAATACAAAAAATACAAAAAAAAGAAAAAAAAAATTAGCCAGGTGTGGTGGCAGGCACCTGTAGTCCCAGCTACTCAGGAGGCTGAGGCAGGAGAATTGCTTGAACCCGGGAGGCAGAGGTGGCAGTGAGCCGAGATCATGCCACTGCACTCCAGCCTGGGTGACAGAACAAGACTCTGTCACAAACAAACAAACAAACCCAGCACGTGTATATACAGTCATCCTCCCTTCTCTGCAGTTTCACTTTTTGCAGTTTCACCTTCTGTCAACCTTGGTCTGAAAAGATGACAGTATTCTGAGACAGAGACAGCAAGAGGCCACATTCACATAACTTTTATTCTAGTATATTGTTATAACTATTATATTAGTACTGTTAATCTCTTACTGTGCCTTATTTATAAATTAAACTTTATTAAAGATATGTATGTATAGGGAAAAATAGCCTATAGAGGGTTCGGTACTATCTGTAGTTTCAGGTATCCACTGGGATTCTTGGAATACATTTTCCTTGAATAAGGGGAGGCTACTATGTGTGTATGTGTATATACTTATATATATCTATGTAAATCTATATATGTGTGTGTATGTAGTGACATAAGAATAATATTAATATCTTCATATTTTACCAGAATATTAAAAGCATGGATGCAATAAGTCAATAACTATAGGATTTTAAAGAGGAAATTCTATCTCATCTACTTTATATCCAGGTAAGATATCAACATATGCGCAGGCAACAAAACATACTGCCAAATAATTAAAGGGTTTGAACAACTACATATAATCCTAATAAACTGCTGGAGAAAGTACCGTAGTTTCCCAGTAAGTTAGTTAAGATTTCTTTTAAAAAAGATAGTGTAGCAAAGAAATGACTATTAAATTAGCATATATAAATCAATCATTTTCATCTATGTAAACAATAAAAAGTATATACATAGGAAGAAAAGACCACATATAATAATAACACATAATAAAATAACCCAAATAAGCTTAGTAAGAAATGTGCAAAGTCTATATTTTAAAAACTTTGAAGTACTCCTGAAAGACCACATAGCAAAATTGAAGACAGGAAAAGATAAGAGTGTATTCTTGACTAGAAGACTCAACTCTAACTGAGCTTGGGATTACAATAAGGAGTAGGTTTGAGAAGTGGAAAAACTGGGGTTCCATTTTGGTTGTATTGAGTTTAATCTTTCCGGGGAGAGGCCTTAGGCATTGGAGAAGTGAGTGTGGAGCACTGCGGAGAGGTCAGCATGAAAGTTATGAATTGGAGCGTTCTCAACATATGTCACTTAGCAACAGTGTGTGGATACAGAAAGGAGAGGAACCTAGAAGAGAAACCTGAACCTTCCAACATTTACGGATTAGTTGAGAGTGAAAAGTCACCACAGAAGACTGAGACCAAACCAAATGGCCAGTGAAAAAGAAGGAAGAGTGTGAATGTGATATTCTGGAAGCAAAGGATAATCAATTTGTCCAAGAGGGAATATTCATTCTGTATTCCCAGTGCCTGGCCCATGGTAAGAACTCAATAAATATTTGCTAGATGAATGAAAGTCTGAAAGAAGAAATGGAATTTTCCTAGAAAGACGTATTTTGTAAAAATGTACTCACAAAGTAGAAGAAAAACATTTCAGACTAATTCTGTATATGTGTATTACACATACATGTAAACTAAGAAAAATCCTAAATTTTAACAAAAGGTTCAAATCCATCTGTATTTTAAAATAATAACAAAGTATGACTACAAGTCTAATGGTACCAAAACCTCTGGTAAAATATTCAGCCCAATGTGCCCTGGATTGCTATAACAGAAATGAGTTATTAAGTGCTCATTAATAAAATACTGAACACTAAGTGTGCCAATAATATAGACTCATTGGTCTTACGTATGGTCCTAAAGATCATTCAACCTTCTCCTCCTGTCTCCAAATGGGCCACCGGAACCTGTTCCCATACCCAGAATTAGTCTCTTCTTCCATCTTGCCACAAAACCCTCTTTCAGCAAATTACTGACTTCTAGAACATCAAACGATCCCTAGAGATCTTCAAATGACCACTTGGCTACCAAACAGCACGCAAGACAGAAACTAGGCATGGGTTTCTTTCGTATTTTTAAAAACCTTCAGGGAGTTTTTGATAGAGTTAAAACTAGACTTAGCATTATAACTACTTAGTCTCCCTTCATGACCAGTTTCAAAAGATATGATCGGTTTCATATAGGCAGCCGTCAAGTAACTTTCATAATATCAGCTACGTTATTAACCACATCAAATTGCAATCAGAATAGCCACCAGATTGATTCATTTGCCATGTGCACAATCTGTTACATATTCAGAACAATCATTAATGTTTCTTAACTCTTCTTGAAACCAGAACAGAGCCTTGGATTTTGTCTAGGGTGAATTACTTCATTCAAAAAAACAAACCAACAAATCAGAAACTAATTTTTCAGCCTGTCATAAATATGACTAAAGAACATGTATGTTCCTTCCTGGATACATTTGACTTTACCTCTTCCTGACACCTTCTAATGAACCTTAAAAACTTCCTCAAAGTGTTGAGCAAGCAAATAAAATCAGTTTTCCATACACATTATACCTAAAATGAGATCCTACATGTAAATTATAAACAATGATTGTTTCTTACTAGCTTATGATATCTGTGAAGATGTTTTCTGTTTCTTAGATTTTTACTGTACTACACCTTCAGGTTTGTTTGCTTGTTTTGAGACCGAGTGGCACTCTGTCGCCCAGGCTGGAGTGCAGTGGTACGATCTTGGCTCACTGCAACCTCCGCCTCCTGGCTTCAGGTGATTCTTCTGTCTCAGCCTCCTGAGTAACTGGGTTTACAGGCACGTGCCACCACACCCAGCTAATTTTTGTATTTTCAGTAGAGATGGGGTTTCACCATATTGGCCAGGCTGGTCTTGAACTCTTGAGCTCGTGATCCACGCACCTCAACCTCCCAAACTGCTGGGATTATAGGCGTGAGCCACCGCACCCGACCCAGTCTTTACCTTACAGAAATAATAACTCTTTTAAATCTACATCACCTCTGACCCTTAATAGTCTTTGTCAATCAGTAGTTTCCTGATTAGCCATGACTGTGTCATTCCATTTTTTAGCACTGGGATTATTTGTCTGGTCCTACAGTTCTAAAAAAACAGGCATGCCACTGAGGTGAGGCCGAAACGTGAACTTGGTAAGACTGTAGCTTCCTTTCCTATTAATTATCTCCCCTTTTCACCTGGTGATAACATGATGCTGGCAATAGCTGCTTTATCTTTACTTAATTGTTTTAATACCATTTGACCTGCAAAAATGAGCATTTTAAAAGCTCATGCAGCAAATGAGCTGGAGGTCTACACAGGTCTTTATGGACAGAATTTGAGCTGCATCTTTTGATGGCATTGCTTTATAAAGCTAGTTTAAAATGAGAAAAAATTAAAACCTTGCATCTTCATGTACTGTTAATTCTAAACCATTTTAAGGCAATAATCCCCAGAGGCAGGAACCAGAGCCATGCAAAGTTCTTCTCTACAGATGGAAGGGTGTGTTACACAGGTTGGCATATCACTGACCTTTTCTGCAGTCACTGTAATGCCAGCTTTTCATAGCTGTTGTTTTCTGTTTTCTCAGAATCTTCTCTGAACAATATGCATCTTATTTTCCTTCAGTGATGCAAAATGTTTGCCACGTGTGAAAGGTTTTACATATTTTTAAAAAGCCATTAAATGTAGCCGGGCACGGTGGCTCACGCCTGCATTCCCAACACTCTGGGAGGCCGAGGCGCGTGGATCACCTGAGGTCAGGAGTTCGAGACCAGCCTGGCCAACATGGTAAAACCCTGACTCTACTAAAAATACAAAAAAAAAAAATCAGCCGGATGTGGTGGTACACACCCATAATCCCAGCTACTTGGGAGGCTGAGGCAGGAGAATCGCTTGAACCCGGGAGGCAAAGGTTGCAGTTAGCTGAGATTGTGCCTTTGCACTCCAGCCTGGGCAACAAGAGTGAAACTCCACCTCAAAAATAAATAAATAAATAAAAAGTCATTAAATGCTTTGCATATGCAGGAACTTATTCCAGGCAATGCAAAGTGTGAACTCATAAAAATTGTTCCCTTACTTTGGAAATTAAGTTTTCTGCTACAGAATAGACATAATGTCCAACACAGAGAACAGGTTCATGACTTAAAGAGAGCGTTTCTCTCTCTCTCTCTCTCTCTCTCTCTCTCTCTCACACACACACACACATCATGTAGGCATGATAAAAAAAATCAGAATTACAAATAAAATACTGATTTCAAACTGCATTTAAAGATGTAGTTAAGGCAAAGTTATAAGTTAATGAGATGTATGTGTCTGATAGAGGGAAAGTTCATTAATTCATAATCACTTGCCATAAATTATATGTATAATTATTTTATGGACATGTATACAGCTGATCCAGTCTAACGATCACCAATGACCTGAATCAAATAATATGGCAGAATTAAGGATGTGAAAAATTGTACAAATATGCTAACTTTTAGTTAAATATGTTTTGACTACCACAAAATTTACATAAATGTTAAAAGCACAATTCAAACTGAATTATAATTTTTCAGGAGGTTTGCTTGCATGCCATGTTAAAATATCCTTGAGGAAACATAATTCTTAAAACCACTAAGAAAAAAGTTCTTGTAATAGGAAAATGATTTATTTACCTGGATCTTCTATAGTTAAGTTCTTTATCAACCATTGAACAATGTCTGAACCTAGAAAAAGAAAAAAGGAAAACACAAACCGATGTGAACATTTTGTTTATACATATTAACTTCAAGAATTCTCCACCTTTGGTGCTCATACTAGAAAGAATTTTTTCTAATTGTTACAATGACAGGTTAAGGATCTACCCCAGATGGAATGCTGAAAACACAGAGTATGAATACTTAGTTGTCCTTCAACAAACCAAGGTGTAAACTCGCAAATTATTAAATACGAAATATTTAAATGTAAATAAAATTTGCTATACTAGTAGAAAGTGATTTGTTTACTAAATAAGTGTTTATTAAGCATCTACTATATTTCAGGTACAAGTCTTAGCACAGCAAAACCAGTACTTTATAAGATGTCTTTATAAGTGTCTCATTTCTGGTTACACCTACCTCATCCTTGTATCTCCTCTCAAGCCAAACCAAATGTGTTTCTGGTTTTCGAACCCTCCTATGTATTTCAAGCCTCTGTGTCTCCACAGCAGTATTCTCCCTGACTGAAATATCTTCCCACTGTTTTTGAGACACTCAAGGTTCCCTGACATGACAGAACTTGCCTTGTCCCTTCCCGTTGTCCACTGAGTTTACAGAACTGTCCACGAATCCTCATTGGAACCCATGTAGTCTTTTACTGTCGTGTTGATCACACCATTGCCCCAGCTGTTTATCTGATGAATGTCCCAAAGTAATAACCTTGAAGCAGGGTGTCATTTTCATCTTTGATTATTTGGAGCATAGTAAGTGCTTAACAATGTGTGATGAATACAAAGTATGAATGAATATGTTTCTACTGCACACAGAAGAGACAAGAGAGGGTCTGCAGAAAACGTAATGTTTGAGCTAGATTTTGAAGGATATATTTTTATCTATGAATAAGAGAGAAACTTAGTTGCTGAAGGGGCCTATGTAAAAATTAAAAGATGGAAAAACAGTCAACAGAAATAACTTACTGCACACTGTCTATATGTAAGTACTGGGAATAATAGAAATTTGAAAGTAATAATGGAGTGCACAGTGTATTCAGCAGGTCTTGAATTCTAGGCTAAATAATTAAATTTTTTTCCCATAAGGAAAGCAGAGAAAGAGACATGCAATATTTTTGAGCAGAAGAATGACATTATCAAAGTAAGTTTAAGGAATATGACTGGCAATATATATGAAATGCCTTGTAGTCAAAAAGAAGGCAAGGCAGTCGACATGTCTACTAGTTGCAATCCAAGAATGAAGGGAAAAGGTCTTAGTTCAGTGACAAATGAACTTCTTAGAAATTACAGACTTGTTTCAGGACTTCATGACTAATTAGGTATAAAGGTTACAAGTCGGAGAGATTAAAAAAGAAGTCAAGGTTTCTAGCCCAGAAGCATGGATGAATAGAATGATGAAAATAAGAGCAGAAATGGGAGATTTAGCAACTGATTTGCTTGAGACACTCATTTGTATTTAAAATTGGTTTTCTGCATAACTCTTTTCTACATAAAATAGGAAAAATATGTATGTGAATTGTTTGCATACATCTTAAACTGTGTTATGCCTGCAAGAATTGAATGAAACTTCAGGATGAACCAAGATTCCATTTCAGCCTCTCCTGGAGACTGGCTAGAGTTGCTGCCTACCCACCTCAGAGATTTGGCAAATTAATTACATTAACATTGGCAAAATAATTCTAGCTGCTTGAATTAAATCAGTTCAAAGTCAATTTAAGAATAAATTTGATTACTAAACTTGACAATAAAGTCCCAAAAGTTATGAGAACATTCATAGTCAATGCCAATTTCAGTATGCATGCATTTAAAAAATAACTCCAAGTACTGACTTGAACTTGCGTTCCTTTTACAGCGCCATTGATTTAAATCATTTAGGAAGACAGATTCATCCAGATCCTAAAGGAAGTTTTACTAAAACAGCTCAGAGTGTCGAAAGGAAAGGAGATCATTCTCCAGAAGGCAGTTGACCACGTCCGGGTGTTGCGTTCTTCCTTAAAGTCTAAGTTATCTTAAAGCACGATCTTCCCGTTGAAAAAGAAAAGGAGAACTCAGCTTTTCACATATGTATGTAGTGATCCTTGACCAATGTCGATTCCCAGATACACAAATCTTCTGCACAAGCCCCAGGCACGCTGCTCATTTTTCAGAGTTGAGCATCTATTTGTGGAACATATGTGAGCAGCCACTGGAAATTTTCCATTCTTTTGAAGACAGCCAAACATTCATTCCAGGACTATACATATTTTTTATTGTGAAAAATGACTTTAAAAATGCTCTTAGAGACTAAGTTTTTAAAAATATTCTGTTCTGTTATGCTTTCTTTCCTTTTCTTTTTTTTCTTTCCTTTTTTTTTTTCTGAGCACAAAGAAATATAAAGAAGCCTAATTTAAAAGTATGTTTAATTCAGAGAATAGGAAACTTTCTTTCTTAGCCTACTTTTGAGTATTTATGTCACAAGTGTATTCTCAGTTCAGCTCTGAAGGAGTCAATTTAATTGGACTTGACCAACTGTTAGTGTCACTTAGCAGATGCTGTAGTGGTTTTCTTATTGTGTGATCACCCCAACATATTTATGGTTTTAGGTGGAAACATTATGGATTTTTAAGTTGTTAAATTCATACCCAGACTCACCAGGTTAACCTATGTTGCATCTGTAAGAGTAAGACCCCACCTCCTTGAAGAGATAGGTAGAGAGAGAAAGAAGGAAAAAATCCAATATCTTATTGGAACCAGAAGACCGAAAGAGAAACGTGCTCCTATAGAGTGATCTTGAGAAGCATGATTCAAATGTAAAACGGAGCACTGCAGTCCAGAGAAGTGTAGTAGGAATGCCACCTTTACATCAATTTCCCAGCTTTATGTTAAATAAATAAATGGCTGGGTCTGCTAAAGTTTTTCACGTATAATGTATATGTAGAATATGGTAGCATTCTATTTATCTTGATTTTGGAGCCCTCAGAATAAGCTGTGGAATTTTTTGAAATCACCCTTTGACTGTAGCCTATGGAGAGTTTAGCCCTGACCATACTCTTATTTTGAGTTCTTACAGGCAGGTGTCACTTTCAGAGTCGCAGAGCTTTGTACTCCCTCTGCTCAGCAGAAGCAGTAGAGGTTTTGATTATTGTCTAATCCTAGCAGTATATTATTTAAAATGAAAACAAGCAAAAACAAACAAGTAGAATTCTTCCTCATCACACTGCTCATAGTTTTCCACCTGCTGTACTGTTTCTTCCTTCCACGATTTGGCTAATGCTATTCTATCTTCACCTCTTTTTCCTGTGGTGAATCCCAGCCGAGGCCACAAAGTTCCATTCAAACAGTATCTACTCCAGGAAGCCTGTTCTGCCCACCCCACCCTATCTTACTAGGGAAAGTGTTTTTTTATTTATGTTCTATTAACATCTTTATCATTCTTTTTACTTATCAACGGTTTTATCATCCTGTCTTGTCTTTACTCTGTCTTCCTCTTTGCAATATAAGTCCACTGAAGGCCAGGAGCATGTATGTATGATTCATCTTTGGATCCCAAACACCCAGACCAGTGCCTGACATGTAAAAGATGACCAGTAAATGCCAACAAAAGATTGGATGAATAAATAGCAAGACCCCCCTCCCCATATTCTATTTTGAGAGAGTTTAAAAAGAAAGGTATCCCTCGTGCAAAGAATATTCTACTGGCGTGTAATTTAAACATCAATATTATTAAACATGATGTCAAATTGATCTTAAACTTCAACATCATTTTCTCACCCATGCCGTGGAACTGAATGGCAAACGAACGTCCTTACCTGTGCCCCCTGCAGAGTGCAAAGGCCTGGACCAGGCTCTGTCCTAAGCCTGTATTACTTCCATTAATGTTCACATCCCCCCACCCCCCACACAGATTAGAGCACATCTGCAGCCACACGTGTCACCTACAGCTATCCACAAACTGAATCTGAATTAGAGGTGCACAAAACTATTAAGCATTCACGAAAAAAAATTGCAATGTGTTTGTAAACGTAAGATATGAGGACTTTGTAAGCAAGCAAAATAGAACACATTTGATTTGTGTCCTTTACAAAACTAGTCTTTTCATAACTTTCAGCAAAAGCCATTAGTGAAAACTTTAGCTCTTAATCACCACAGAAGGTGCGCAAGTTATTCCTGAAGCAAAGACACTGACCTTTGCAATGTTTCTCTTTCAGGGAAATGCATAGGCTCTTTGCACTGCCCAAATACCTTTGCTGAAGCCTCAGAACCACATAGACACAGTGCTGACAATACAAATATTTTTTTATTTAGTGAATATCGTAAATAATCTATAATCCATGATTTTTGATGTTATAACTATTCTTCTTCTTTTTTTTTTTTTCTTTTAAGACAGGATCTCACTCAGGCTGCAAGGCAGTACAACAATCAGCTCATCGCAGCCTCAACTTCCTGGGCTTAAGAAATTCCCCCTGCCCCAGCCTCCCAAGTAGCTGGGATTACAGGTGTGAGGCACCATGCCTGGTAATTTATTATTATTATTATTATTATTATTTGACGGATGGGGTCTTGCTATGTTGCCCAGACTTGTCTTGAAATCCTAGCCTCAAGTGATCCTCCTGCTTCAGCCTCCCAAAGCACTGAGATTACATGGTGTGAGCCACCATGCTCAGCCAACTATTCTTAGAACCTCTCACTAAATAGAAGACTTTCTATATACTAAAAATCATTTTTCCAACATTATTCTTGGTTCCTTGAAGTAGGCACAATAAATATTTATTACTATCAAATAGCATGTAATAAACATCTATTGCATTTCTGTGGAAGCTGGGCTGAGGATCTGCAGTTTTAGGAACTAGAAAGAAAGAACGTCGAGGGAAGCAAATTAACTGATCTGTCAGTCCCTTGGGAGAAGAAACGGCATCATACTCATCACGTTTCCACCATTCTCTTCAAAGTGTCTCAACACAGATCATCGTTAAATGTTTACTGAAGGCATGAGTCACTATTGATGGACATATACTCTATACAGAAAAGACTCAAAATGCT